AACGAAAGGCTCTGAAATGGAAACTACAACGATCAGGGGCCCCCAATTGTTTGTTCTGATGCTCTGTTTGTTTTCAGGGCTTTGACAAGAAATGTCCCTTGAAGAATTTGGCACGAAACATTTTTAAGGCATTTCAAACAATGTGGTTCGCAATTACCACATCGAAGCCAAAAATGCATTCGGGCATCGTAAACACGTTATTAGACTCTGTAAAAACATAACCTCTAGATCAGTGGTATTCAACCTTTTTTGTTCGCGTACCCCCAGATATAATTTCTCTTCAACTTTGTACCCTCAAAGTTGTTGGTGTATAATTCAAGTTATACATAGTATATAATCTACATCTAAAATAAATTAAATAAATTGCATTACTGATTATTCAGTGTTTATCATAAAATATATATATATATATATTTTTTTAAATTTTTAAATTTTCTGAAAAAGAAGAGAATTAATTATGTTCGTAATACCAGAAATTAATCGCATTTAACGGCAAAACCGAGTGTTTGTTGGCGAAGGAGGGGATACTGGAAAAGTACAGCAATTTCAAAATAAATGCCACAGTCAGAGAGGACGCTGACAGTAAGCATAAGTAAAACGTGAATTACCATTCGTGCGTCCTTCGAGATTATTTAAAAGTAACAGCAGCTTACACCAGTAAGAAACGCAAACTTCACGGACTGCGTTGCAACAAGCAGCTTATAGTAAACGTAACAAACATCGGTACAGAGTAGGAACACGAGTTCACAAAATTTTTAGTGTGAACAGACGCTGAACTAACTCCATGGAGTTGGCAGCAAGGGGGTAGGAGAACACGACCAAAAATCTTACGACAATAATTCAGAAGACTTACCATTGCGAGCACAAACTGCTGAGTGCGTTTAACAGTCCGTTGAAATCCATTTCAAATCGAGCGTTGGAAGTGAAAACACAAAAGACTAATCGAAGCCAGCATTTGGATTTGAAATCACAACACGTTTCAGCTGACCGAAAGAACAGCGTTCATTGTTGTGAAGCCTGTTGACTTATTATTATGAAGTTTTAATCATGAAACGCGGAGACTGAACCCAGTTTCAACTTCTCTGTTAAGTCGAAGGTGAAACGTGTCCTCTCGTTGACATAAAATGGCGATCAACACGGGTGTACCATCTAAGTACAAGAACACAGACGGGCTCCAACTGGAAATCGCAGAGATACAGAAGGCCAGTTGTTAAACCTGATTTTGTGGCGACGGTTACAGACAGCTCAGCTGCTGCTAATTCCGTGTTATATTCAAACTCGACAACAATTCGGCGAACTTGAGCAAAACGGAAACAAAACACATGCCAGTCACGCTGCTTCAAAAATTACGGCCGGCGTGAAGATGAATAAACATGAAATTCGGATTTCTACGTTCCGTATTGTTCAAATGCGACGGACGATTCGCCCGGAGACACTTGCTGTCTGCATGCAGCATTGGTTCGTCACACCGACTGAATCTGTCAGTTTAAACACAAAACACTGAAAGTAAACAATGAACACAATGTAAGTCCTACCTTGGCATGAAGGGTAAGGTGCCTCGAGATGATCTCCTGCCACTGGACGCCATCACATGGAGCTCACACACTTTTAAATTCACTCCCAACGAAATTTTCTATCGAAACCGAACTGCCTGGCTGCCTCTGAGACAATTTACGTGTTCCAAATCCAGACTCTTGTACATTGCAAAGAACGCAAGGCTGGCATTTGACAAAATCCGAGCTACAACATGTACTGAACAGTCCACAGAATTCTAAGTAACAGATTCAGAAATCTTCTGAGTTAGCAAAAATAACAGTTTTAGTCCTGTACAAAGTTTGGCATGATTCAAGCTATCAGAAGACTTTAAATGTTTACCATAATGAATCCCGTAGCTTCAAAGTTGTGCATCTAACGCGTTACTAATTATGAGATTAAAATTAAACACGTGAATTTTTAAACAAATTAATAATATTCTCGTTAGACTGGTGAAACAACAGCAGATTGTCCGAGGTTCGGATTCCTACCTCATACGGCACAGAATAAAATGACCCAGCATTCAGCTGACCTCGAGGGCAAGACAGTTTAGTCTGGAAACGTAATTGTTACTATCACAGCTCAGAGTAAATAATTAATGTCTGAATGTCGTATAAATGTGACGTCATATCTCCGGCATCAATCAAAGTACCTTAGTCTGGCGAGACAACCCCTCCCCTCCTACAGTTGCAAAGCCTGCTTCAAGTTCAACAAATCGGATGAATTGGCTTCAATGTTATGCTTCACTTAAAATACAATCAAGAACTCTGCAATAAATACATCACGGTATACTACTGTTTACATATGTTATCATTTGGTCGCTCGCCCATGAAGAAATTCCCGGCCTATAAAACCGAAGCTCCATTACTGTTCACTGTCTTGAGCGAGACAAACCTCGTCCCAGTCCTCACATCATACGTTTGAAAGATTCTTTCCAATGTTATCCCCATGTTGTTAAAAATGGAGTCTACCTTTCAGGTTTCTCGTGGACAACCGTTTTCACACGAATTTGAAGCCATCTTTCTAGCAATTCAAAGCACCAAAAACTATTCCACACACTCACGAAAAACATTCAAATAGTTACAAAAACAGCACCACTATTTCATTCTATTTGTGTCGGCAATTACATCTATAAAACCTCACAACTTGTATTTTTTGTCTGTGTGTACAGATCACAAATTCTAGCCCATCTGATGCAACAGTAACGAACGCTGGTAAAATGCCGCAACGACCAGACTTGCAAAGAAGGCTTCGTCTTACTAATTTACAGATCTACACACTTTCTGTCCACACTGCAGAGTTGCTTTATGTATTAAAGCATTCTTTAAATACGTATTAACAAAATAGTCCATTGCCACTTACAATATCAAATCCTGATTGCTAACAGAACGCAAAGCCAGGCAGTTGTTTTCCACAAATACGCTGACGCTACCTGCAACCCCTGTGCTCGGGGATTAGGAATAAAACTACGATAATTCTGCCATAAGATGTCACTAGTAACTAAGTCAAACAGGTGACAGCAGATCATTCTGCAGGCGAAGACGAAACAAGAGAACGGCGGATTCAGTCGTGACACCATAACAGCAATTAAGATAGTTTGTGCCCACACCAAAGAGTACGAAGATGCTTCCCCAAAGTTTAAAGTTTAAATGTGAGAAATCTGGTGGGGTCCGCAGTGGCCGCGCGGTCTGAGGCGTGGGGTTTTGTGCCGCTTGGTCGCGGGGACCGTGGGTTCGAATCCCACTCATGCCATGGATGTTTTTCTGTGTTGTGCTGTCCTGAGTACAGGTAGAGGCCTTGCGACGGGCCGATCCCTCGTCCAAGGAGTCGTACCAAATGTCCATAGATCAAGCCAACTAAAAAGTTGGGGACCCGGAAAATGTAGAAAACATTGTTAAACCGGAAAAAGAAGAAGATATATTAAATCTGTAGTAGAATTTAAGTCATTTTAATCCTGTTATTTATCTGAATTCTTATTCCTTATAAATGCATTACGTGCCCCCTGGCGAGTGCCCATTCGACACAAAATTATAGCTAAAACATGACCTGAAAGACAGATTGACGACGTCTGGTAACATTCCACGTGCTGAGGACTTTGCACCAGAACTTTTCATTATAACATTTAATGTATGAGTGTCGTCCAGTGACCGTGAAGAGTACAGATGTACCTGAGTCTCATATGTTGTTACTCATTCATGCGTAATATTCTCGACAGAGGGCGATGCCATATTGGACACTAAATAAACAGAATGTGAACAAAATGGCATTGATTAGAGTTCGTATCCGGGAGATTTGATTCGTGGTTCGGATACCGTTACCGCTGACATATTTTGTGGCCACTCTCCCCTCCACGCAGACATAATCCTAAAATAGGCCATGACCGCGTCTCTTAACTATCGTCCTGTTAGACGGCTGAGGCGAATCACGACTTGAAAAAGCTGGCTGTATAATTTGTTGAGAGGCTTCTGTTTGTCGCAGCAAACAAAGCAGAGGCAATTAAGGTAGCAGCCCTCCGAGGCGCTGGACCCACAGACCCTGCCGTCAATTATAATGCAGAAACGCAACTACTGTACCTACACCTACCGGTTCTAAACAGCTCGGCCTTGCAAATAACAACAACCGAACGTCCAATCGGACAACATAAGACAAGGGCAGATCGCCAGCTGCTTAGTGACATTCACGAACCGGAAGAATGAAAAAAGTACAGACTGAAACAAAACAGATTTGATGAAATAAATACCAAATCATTATATTCTTATTTGACTGGTATTAATTAGGCTTAAAATGCCTGTAATTTTTCAACTATCTTCCCATCTTTTCCTTGGGCTACCTTTGTCTCTTTTTCCAACTCGTTGGTGTTGAAGTGCCAATTTTGGTAGTGTCTCATCTTGCGTCCTTTCGACGTGATCAGAGACCAAATATTTATTGGCTTGTGGACAAACACGTCGAGGGCAGCAGAAAACCGAGACCAGAGCGAACCAACTATTGGCAAAAGCTTTTCACAGTCTCGTGATGATCGCGTATGACCAGTGTTAAATCTATGCACTTCATTTATACCACTTAAAAAAATCATCCAAAAATTTTAGGAGTTTAAAAAATGCATTGCTCAACTCCAATTATGAGGCACGTAATAATTACCTCAGATTTTATAACCCGACTCATTTATGCCTGAACATTCTGTAAAATCTCGTCATCTGTGTTTTCCGTGACAACGTAATCTTATTTATTAAGAATAGGCGGTGACTATTAATACAAATTAAGCAACAGTACACACACCGAGGCTCGTTGCCTTTCGTACACACGATGTGAACTTCAGATTTGGCGCCAGGCTTGTCGAAATGGGGCAGGCCTATCATGGCTTCACTCATTTTGCTTTCTCACGGGAATCCTGCAGTAGGTCCTCAGACACCAGTTACTAGTTCGGGTCGTGTTCTTCAGACAGATCCTATTGTGGCCCAGCTGAAGTATCTTGCGGCAAAACGCACCCTGTTAGCTGTCAAACTTAAAAGAGGGCACACAAAGCTGAAATTAGTGAATGAAACCAATCATGACGCAGTAATAAAAGGAAATATTTGTCTATTAAGCAGAAAATAAAAGTGGTCAGAATCTAATTACAAGATAAAACGTGTAATAGCTATAGCTCACTGCAATAACTGTCTAACTCCACGCAGTCGAGATCTTCTTAAAAAGCTGACGGTAAGCTCACATGGCCGCCTTTTATGGAATCCGATGGTTCGTTACCATACTCACAACAGGTTTACACTAGACAACATCCTAAGCCAGATAAATCCAATCCGCACCCACGAACCCATTTCCTTGAGATACATTTCAATATCGGATCAAATTGCTGTAGTCGTCAGTTCGTATGCGTGCTATATGCCCCGCCCATCTCATCCTCCCGATAGTATATGATGCAGAGTACAGATTATGGACCTCCTCATCACGTGATTTCCTGTGTCCTTCTGGTAGGTCGCGTCCTCCGCCGTAAGGTCTTGGGTCGCCGATGTGACTGTACACAAGTTTCTTCGCGTCGGATTCACAACTGAAACATCTCGCGCTAAGGGCACCCTGACCTGCCCCACTC